GAGGTATAATATTGGAGAGAGACTTGATCCCAGTTTGGAGATGGGAGGGAAAGGAAAGTGTGTGTATAAAGCTAACAAGGGCAGTTGGCTTCTAACTGTGGAAACTTCGTAGAGTAGATTTTCTTTCCTATTAAGAAGCTACATAGTGACAATAATAGGACCTAATTTTTCTTCTGTTTCTGATATTCTGTGTTTCAGTCACATAGCAGGCTGAACTGATGTTTGAAAACAGAGCAGAATTTTAATTGAGTTTAGACTTATGTTTCTGCATTATAGAGAAAAAAAGTGTAGTGGTGCATACAATCCTGAATAGTGTGAAAAATTTGAAGACCACAGTCCTTTTCTTAAGTGTTTACACTAAACATAACTGTTAAATTAACACTGGCATGTCTTCAGTAATACTAGCTATTAATACAAAGAATATATTCAGTCTTTACTTCTATCAGTAATGTAATTCCTGGGCACTATAGGGATTTTCTTCTTAAATGTTTAATTGGTATTTGAGAATGGAATTTGGAGACTGGGATTTTGAAACTTAATATTTGTGTTAGCGCATTTGTTCTAGTTCTATATCAGATATAACTTTATTTAGATATTCTAGGCTTGCTTCCTCTTTCTCACATAACAGCTCTTTATGTGGAGAGTATTATGATGCCCATTCTAGTGCCAAACAACAGTGATTTCATCACTTTCCTTGGACAGTGTTATACTATTTTTTGTATGGTATAGTTTGAGAGAATTTGGAAGGGTAATGAAGACGTGAAGTAAATTCTAGATACATAATGCATTTTTACTCTGTAGTCTGAGGAATATCAGTTGATAACTGCCTCACAAATATAAACAAAACCTTCCCTTTGAACCTTCCCTCACGAATTCTCCATGTATTAACCCTTAACCAAAAATAAATGCATTTGCAGTGCTTGTTCCAGATTGAAATAGTGTTTTAGGAGAAGGTTCTTACTGGCTTGTAGCTTGATTTTGTTTTGTAAAACTTAATTTATGGGAGGTAGAGTACAGGGTCTCAGTGGCCCAGCATGCTGTTCATAGCTTATATGCAAGGAAATTATTTGAGTCTTTCAGGAAGGTATTCATTTTGCTATAGCTACAACACTAAGTCCTTTGTGAATATTATAATGAAATCTTTAGTACTCAGTACAACCCATTCAAAACAAAGGTCAAACTAAATAAAGTTTTCAGAAGAGGGCTTAGTTGCATTAGAAGTCTTTTTCCTGTTTTTGTCTGCATAACAGCTCAAGTGTAAGGTAAGCATAACAATAGTTTTAAGTACCTTCTAAGACTCACTTGTGCTGTATAAACTTTAATAGCATATGTAAAATTACAGATTATATGGGTAAATGCAAGCTTGCAAATTGGATGTGGTTTGAGCTGTAAAAACTTGAAAATTGTAAAAACTGCATCTCTTCTTTCTGGTGTGTAATGTCTGTTTATTAACTATATAGTTAATAAACAGTAAAAACTGCTAGATAAATAACCTGACCTTTTTAATAGCAAATCTGTAATATTGTGCCAGTACGTTTTAGTTGGGTCACAGTGCTGAAGATTATGAAGTTGTATAGGTGTCATTTGGCACAGTTTTGATGACATGTTTGAAGAATTTAGTGAGTTGCTAACAATTCTTTTTTCAATCTCACAAATGTATACTTCCTTATACAAACTAACATATTCTGTGTCAGTAATTTCCATGTTATGAAATCCCACATGCACTTGTCAGACCATGTAACTTTGAGGTTGGTTTCATCTGTCTGAATTTAGACCTATGGACTATCAAACCTACAAGTGTAGAATCACTGTATAATCAGCAGAGGGAAATAGGTACTTCTGGGTTCATAAATTGGATGTGTAAAACTGCTCAACTGAATATAGAAGTGCCTTTTTCTCTCCTCTATTGACTTGGAAAGGATTCCACCTGACTGGTCCAAAGATAAGCCCTGTAGGAAGCGAGGTCAAGTTCCAACTCAAGGTGTCTGAGGTGGCTTTTGGTTGTTTCCCTAAAAGATGGAGAAATTCTGTCTCTCGGCTTGTCTTTGGGGTACAAACAAGCTAGTCGGTTGCTGGCTAACCATGTACAAGCAGTAACTTCACTGCTTCAGTTTTTTTGTATTGTGGAAAGACTTTATAAGTTCCCACCATAAATTGCAACAGGCCAAGAACAGTGGCAGCCTTTCAGGACATACATCCATTGTATCTTTTAATGTCGAACCATAAAGAGATGATATGGGGCTATGTGATCTTCTGTGGTAATCTTCTATCTTTGAAATAAGAAAGCACTCCAGTTTGTCATTTTTCAAAAATATCAGTCTTAAGGTTTGAAGAGAATCTGAAGAACGAACTTTCTGATGTTTCAAGGCCTTTAACTAATACTCAGTGGACAGGCTTTGTCTTCATTGTGACTGTCCACAGGTGTGGTTTGGTGTTTTGTTTTTGTTTTTTTTGTTATCCTGAGTTAGCTCTAGGTCAGTGAAATTTTTAAAATGAAAGTCAGAAGTCTGAATGAAAAAAGGTTAAACATAAAAAAAAAAAGGGGGGGGGGGGGGGGAGGAAAAGTAGGTGTTGGCCACCACCAAACTTTAATTTCACTGCTAATTTGATAGAATTTGCTTTCTGAATATTAGTGTATCTGGATTTCAACCTGACCTTTCTAGCTAAATCTCAGTTTTGCTGGTATATGTGTGTGTAAATACATGTACAGGTGTGTTTCCAGACTAGGGCCTTCTATGCCTAATTCTGTGGTAACACACAAAGCAGTAGGGAACAAAATAGCTATTTGGTGAAACATGCAAGAGAACTAAAATGTGCTGAGGGCTTTTAAATTAAGTCAAAGTCTTTGATCTGTCTTCATCCCGGAGCTCTTCAACATAATGTACTCTTCAATCTTAATCTTTAAAAGCGTTGTAGAAATACTATATTAAATAACAAATAGATAAGCTGTTTTAAAAGTAAAAATACAGTTTTTGTGCACTGTGTGAAATCTGTTTCTCCTTTAGCATTACTTTAGGTGAAGATGGAAGCAAAATGTAATTGAAAAGAATGTATTGTAAGAGGTACCAGTCCCTCAAAGGCTGCTGTCCAGCACGGGTGAAGGAGGAAATTGGTCAAGTACAAACAATGTGGCTTTTATTACATTCATTCAGCAATAATAAACCTTTGTATTTTAACAAGATTTTTTTTGTTTGCTTTTTAAAAGGACACAGTCAAGGATATTAAGCCTGATACTTTCTTTGCGCTAATATGGGACTGACTTGCATCAAGTAGTTCTTTCGGAGAAAATAAAGGAATAAATCTGCGAGAACTGAGTTTCAGTCCAGGCCAAAATATGCTGATATTGTAAAAATCCTGGAAGTGTGTAGAGGTACATATTTTTGGGTTGAAAAGGAAAGTGGCTAATTGGGTGTTTAGATGCCTACTAGGTACCCCTACTTAGCCTCACATAATTCAGAGGGGGCTACTGTTAAAGTTTTGACCCATGCTGCTGCACGTATCTCTGATCTTTATCAGACACCATGTAACTTAAGCTTCTATGGAACAAAGTGACTCTTCAAATCCTTCATGGATTATTGCATTTGTAAGTGTTTGTTTCTTAGTCATAAAGATGTTTATTTTTCTTAGACCATGACTTTTGGGCAGAGCCATGTTTTGTAGTTGTTTGGCTAGTCAACTTTATTCTAAGGTTTGCCATTTTATTTGGGTATAATTATAAGCTTTATCCATAATGGTAGTTTTGCAGCAAAATGTAGGACCTAATATGTTCAATTGTAGCAATTGACAGAGCAAAAGCTGCTGGAACAATCTATTAAGTACCTGAACTATGGTGCATCTTCTACAGAGGCACCGTTTTAAACTTTTAAGACCTTAGTTACTGTCTCCTTTAGTTGAAGTTTCTGAAAAGGTTTTAAGTCTGTCCTTGACTTTATGACACAGCAGATTGGGATTTTGGGGTTTTTTTGGTTGGTTGGTTCGTTTTGTTTTTTTCTTGTGTAGAAAACCAAACTAAATATCTCTGTGCTCAATTTAAATAAAGCAACTATCCAAATCAGTTTTGTAAATGCTTCCTATGAACAGGGAAACTGAACATGAAGATAGAAGTGCTGACAAACAATCAGAGGGAATGCTTTACTGTACGGGGTAAAGATTTGATTGTGGGAATTAAACTTAGCAACAGAGCTGTTTTTTCCCATTTAGTATGTCCCTGCATAGGTTTCACTCACCATCTTTCTTTTTGCCTTCATTGGGAGGGGAGAAAAGTCACTGGGAAGCACTTCTAGCACATCATCAGAATAGAATAAGTGAAAAATGGTGTATTAGTGATTTACCAGAATTGATTCTTTATGAACTACCAGAGATAAACTGCAAGTTATTTGTCTTCATAGAAAATTAGAGATCAATCCCTTTTAGCTTAGACTGCTTCTGGGACATCCAATTCAAAATTTTCAAGGTAGTACTAATCCCAACTCAAGAAGTAGGAGCCATGTATTCACAGCAGCAGACCCCAAATTAAACAGTATCTGAATTACTCTAAACTTGATGGGAGTTTTGAGCACCAGTTAATGAACAGGTGGTGGCTAGATTTTGGGTTTTGTATGTCTAGCTTTTTTTGAGAGAATCTGGGGGGGGAAACCACAAAAAAAATCCTTGTCTTTAATATTTGCATTCCAAGAAGCTCTCAGTTAACATGCTTATTTTAATCTCTCCTTACATGAAAGAAGCAATTCTGTGAATAAGATTTGAATGATGTTCTATAACTTCAAAAAATCCAAAGATGCCCTATCTTGCTGGCATACTTTCTAATTTACAGATTCTTTTGCAACTATTAAAAAGTGACACTTTTTTTGATATTGCTTTAACTACCTGAATTTCTTATCAGATGGACTATATAATTTAATGCTTTCTAGTGTTTTAATTTGGAATGTGTTGCTTGCCAGACAGGTACCCTATTCTTAGCTTAACTGTGCTTGTCTTTTAAAACAAGAGAGGCCCCCCTGATGAGGAAGACTGTCAAACTGGTAACAACAGATGAGGAGAAGGCTGAGGTACTCGACGACGACTTTGCTTCAGTCTTCACTGGCAATCCTTCTTCCCGCACCTCTCGAGGGGATGGACTGCAAGACACAGACTGGAGGAGCAAAATCCCTCCCATTGTAAGAGATGATCAGGTTTGAGACCACCTGAGGAACTTGAATGTACATAAGTTTATGGGACCTGATGAGATGCATCCCAGAGTCCTGAGGGAATTGGCTGATGTAGTTTCCAAGACATTCTCCGTGATATTTGACAAGTCCTGGCAGTCAGGGGAAGACCCTGGAGACTGGGAAAAGGGAAACATTGCACCGATTTTTAAAAAAGGTAGTACGAGGACCCTGGGAACTACCGACCTGTCAGCCTCACCCCTGTGCCTGGGAAGATCATGGGACAGGTCGTCCTAGAAGCTATGCTGAGGCACACATAGTACAGGGAGGTGATTCGAGACAGGCAGCATGGCTTCAGCAAGGGCAAGTCCTGCCTGACCAACCTGGTGGCCTTCTAGGAGGGAGTGGCAACATCAGTGGACAAGGGAAGAGCTACCGATGTCGTCTATCTGGACTTCTGTGAGGCCTTTGACATGGTCCCCCCCAACATCCTTCCTTCTAAATTGGAGAGAGATGGATTTGATGAGAGGACTGTTGGGTGGATGAGGAATTGGTTGGAAGGTCTCTTACAGAGGGTAGTGGTCAGTAGCTCAATGTCCAGATGGAGATCAGGGACAAGTGGTGTCCCCCAGGGGTACGTATTAGGACCAGCACTCTTTCATATCTTCATCAATGACATAGTGGGATTGAGTGCACCCTCAGCAAGTTTCCAGATGATGCCAAGCTGAGTGGTGCAGCTGACACACCTGAGGGACAGGATGCCATCCAGAGGAACCTGGACAAGCTTGAGGAGTGGGCCCCTTGAACCTCATGAGGTTCAACAAGGCTGAGTGCAGGGTCCTGCAGCTGGGTTGGGGCAACCCCAGGTATTCTATGATTCTATTAATGACAGTTAGGGGAAGGCATGGGAAGAGTTAGAAAAATAACATTGAAGAATGAAATGGAGAAATACCAGTTTCATGAGAATTGTCCTGAATATTGTTGTTGTTAACATTTTGTGAAGGGACATGGACATGCATTTAAATTCACTGTTCTAAGAGCTGTTTAGAAATGGAAAGAATTAAGGGTTATCACCAGCAGGGTGGTGACTTTCTGGTATCATTTATTTATTAGTACCTGGTATTTCAAAATAAATAAAGAATAAAGAGAGAGGAGAAAATTCCAAGGATTCCGCTTATTTTGTTTAAAGACACCGTGGTAGTTACAGTATTTTTATAGAGACCAAATAAACTGTGAGGGGAAAAAAAAAAAAAATAATCTGGACTTAGAAAGGAACTTCTCTCATGGGTCTTCTGTTGAATGGCATTTTTTTTGAAATCAGGAACCTGTCTCTGAACTATGTGAAAAACAGGAAGCTTGACTGATGGGTATTAATTGGTCTGGTAATTCCTGTGTAATTCAGATAGATTGTAATTCAGACAGTTTTAGTGACAAGAGTTGTTGATGCTATTGCTTGCTATTTTTTTGCATATCAAACCTTATCCAAAGTTGAAAAGAGAGTATGCCAAATTCTAGATTGTTAAATGTAGTTTTAATGGTGTGTTGTTACAGGCTTCCTATGTACTAAGTAAGAAAAAACCTGAAAGTATATCAGATCTTTGGAATATGGAAGCAGCAGAGGTGGAAAATTTTTACAGCAGCATCTTTGAGTCAAAAGCTAGGCTGTACTTCAAACATGCTACTTTCTTTTCAACTTCAGCTGAGCTGGGATAGAGAATTAATGATACTGAACTTTGAGTTGAAAAATGGGTTGACAAGGGATAAGTTTAGAATTCAAAACAGAAGTAAGAGTGAACCACTGGCATACTACTGGCTATAACCTTTCTGGGACAGGTAGTCTGAAAATTATGATCTTGCCTGGAATGAAAGCAGGCATATTTCTTGCTGTGTAGTATCTCTTTATTCTACTCATTATTGCTGAGTAGAAAGGCATTTTCTCTGTCTGAGGAGTTCCTAGTGTAAACTGAATCATAGCACAATGGATGAATGAACAAAGTCATAGAAGCAAGCTGCTCTGGCAGAGTTGCACATGGTGAACAGTACATGAGGCATCTCTCTTTTAATCAGACTGTCTCTTCAGATATATGATCATTGAAGGACATACAAAAGCTTTGCAAAAAATACCGTCTGACATTTACTTCTTACATTCAATAGTATGAGATACACAGTTCTAGACTATCTAGAACAATAGGCAGCCTGTAAAACCTCATCTAAATTTCTTTATTTCTCTGGCGTGTTTTTCAGGTTTAGCTCAGAACCCTCTAGAGTGGTATAGAAGCAGTGGTCTAAGAATTACGGTGATCAGTCCACAGCTGGTTTGTGGAACAGTGTGAAGACACTGAATTTGAGAAGGTTGAGTGATCATCTGCAAGGCATTTTCAGTTGAGACTGGTCTATGGGTTGAAAAATTAAAAAAAATGTGAACTTGGCTACTGTGATGTCCAAAATCGTCATCCTTGTTCTGTTTTGCCCTGTTCATGTGCCAACCACATCTTCTGTTGTAGAAGCCCACAGCTGCTAGTGTCATGTGGTTTCCCCATATATTTCTTTGAAGTGTTAATCTTCTTATAACAAGTCTGTTTGGGCAGACTGGTTTCCTTTGCTGTGCCACTTCTTCCCCTTCTTTGTCAAGAATTACTGACAGCCCCCACTCCTCATTTTAAGACATGTATTGCTAGGCTGTTCAAGTTCCATCCCAAGATGAGACAGATTAAATGGCAGACAAACTCAGCATTTAATAATGAGTTTGTAATCTGATACAATTCACCTAGTCTATCTCTGATATTCAACAGAATTAAGTCTGCCATGCTGTGGCTACCAACAAAGACAAATATGTGGCACAGTAGGAAACATTTCTTCTAACTGTAAATAAAAGCAAATAGATCTCATGCTTTTTGTAGGCATCTGTGGAAGTCAGGGCCAAGCCCTTTGAGACTCAGAAAGCAGCCCTCAGGGTCGTGGATCTCACATGACCTAGTTTATTCTTCATTAAAACAGATGGTATCTATCTGAGTGAGGCAAACTTGGTTTTAAGAAAGAGGTGGGGATTAGAAAGATGGGAAGCTGGAACAGTTGGGCCTAATTAATGGGAACAAAAATAAGAAGCAAGCTGAGCATTAAATTAGTCACCTACATCAGTAGCAAAATAGTCACTACATGGCTACTCAATTGTTTTAGCTGATCAGAAGTTGCAGGATTGGTTTTCCTAGCATCAAAAGTATCTAAAATTGCATGAGAAATCTTCCCACATTCTTTATTCTTTTTACCAGGCTTCAAAGAGAGCAAAATCCTGGAAGCTGGCTATGGTATTTTGGCATGGCATTAGGGAATCCAGCTTGTTTTGTAAGGCTGAGAATGCCCTTCTTGCATTTGATACCTAGGCCAACCTGGTCCTCTGCAGTTTTTGGCCTCCTCCCTTTGTATGTGTTTAACATGAGAAGGTTACCTAATTGAGAAGATGGTTGGCATTCCTTCAAGTTCTGAAACCGCATCAAATTTACAAAGGCATCCAAAATTCTTATTTTTTCTGTTGTAAACAGATTATACTGGATTAGTGGTTAGCATTTTGCATGCTTGTTCTGTTTGCCTGTTTAGTCCTGAAAATCTTGAATGATGTTGTTGCATGCTGCAGATAGCACAGGCACTCTTCGCTAGAAGTGAAGAAACCTTAATTTGCTATATGGCTTAGCAGGGAGAAGGGGACTGTACTACTATTACCTTCTAATAAAAACTGTTTATGAAGTATAATTTTCTGATGTAAGCACATTTTTGCGTGATATAATAAAGAGAGTCAGGCAGGGATGTGCATGTGTTTGTGTAGCCATTGCTCTTCCTTCAGCAGGGTAGTATTTGGTACGTCCCAGGACTCATCCAGAATGGTACACAGTCCCTAAAGTTCTCTTGTTTTGAAGTAAATGTCAGTAGATTATTGTGCAAATTTGTAAACACAGTTTATTTCTCTTAATTATTACGTGCAAGATGGGCAGGTACAAAATATTTCTATTTTAAGGTAATCCTAAGGAATCTTTGTTTATCTGTTACAGAAGGTCGGATTTAGCTGGTTCATACAGCTGAGCTCTGAGGTCATCAGGGCAAAAAATTGCAAAGTTCTTTCATGGGGATTAACAAAGCTGTTCCATGAGTTTAGTGTCTCTCTCCTGGAGGGCAGGAGGCAGTGGTGCTTTCATAGAAGACTAGTAACCTTGCCTTTTTCTGCTTCCAAAAACCTTGCCTCAGATTTATGGAGCTGGGCCTCCATCTTACACACTGCCACTTTGCTGCTTCACTTTTTTAGTTTTCTTTCCATGAATGTGAGGGGCAGAATTTCCACTGAGTCAGAACAGTAAAACCTGTTTTTATAAAACAGATAGATTTTCTTGACTGTGCTAAACAACCATAATAATAGCATCTTGTTGCAGCCTCCCGCCTTGACTGTCATGTCCCATCCTGTTCCTCCCTCTTCCCTTCTCCCCCATTTGCAAGGAAGAGAATTTTAAAAATCTCTGCAGAAGTGGCTAAAAGCATGAGCTGAGATCCAGACCAAATGTTTGAAGTGAGATATTTGAATCATAGCCATTTTTGTATGCAAACTTTATCTGGTTGTCTGAATACTGCAAAGCATTAAAAAAAAGAAAGCTCAACAATTAGTCTTGTATGTGGCTGTGCAAAGGCATAAATTAAACCGGATTTGCATACTTCTATACAACTGTTCTTAATTTTCAGCAAGTTCCCCTGCTCCCCCTTGTTAATGGCCCCATGTGGTTAGAGTAAGTGGTTGAAAAAAACAGTAGTACTCCCTGTGTTTGCTCTTTGCTTCTCTTTGCAGTGAGAGGAGTTTGACTGAACAGCTTAAATTGTGTAATTTCCAGAATATCACTATTATTTTTCTTGTTAGGGCTTTAAGAGAGAATATTGTTTGTCAAAAGTGCTGGAAGGGTGGTCGTTGTGTGTCTGGGTACTGTCACTGCCAGCTGATGTAGGCCTAATGGATTTTCTGAGACGACTTGAATGGGAGAAAATTCATATTATGAGAACAAACATCTGAATACAAACGTTAGATGACTTCAGGTCTGTATTGTCTTTTTGATTTCCGTAGTTGCTTGAAACTTGGCTAAAGATGTTTGAAAAAAGACTGCCTGCAATCAGCTCAACAACAAAACTGGTTAGGGAGGTTGTATGTTCTTGCCTGTCTGTGTGGTCTTCTGGTTTTCCCAGAGGCTGTCTAGATTAGGTGCTTGCCACTATTCTGGAACAGCCTGCCAGGATTTGCTGCTCCTGGCAGAGACATTTTTAAAGAGGCCGTGTTTCCAAAGTTAGAACTATTGCTAAATACATCCCTGACAGGTCCTTCTTTGAAAGTGGCTGGAACTTGTGATTGCTATTATTATTACTGTTACTATTTCTGAGCAGCACTGTTTGTAAAGTTAGCCCAATAGCATAATGAAAAATTAAAGCATTCGAAAATAAAAAATATCTAGGACAAGTACAACAAGTCATAAAACATGAGATCACTAAAGACCTAGGAACAAATAGTATGTGTTCATTTACAACTTTCCTGTTGAATATGTCTATGGAAGCACTTTGTTCATATAAGTATTAAAATGCATATAAAACCAGCATTTACTTATGGCGTTGGTACTGTTATTTTCCCCATGTCCACATTTGCAAGTCTTAAAAATGTAAACCGTTTTTTAGTTTTGGTGTGCAATACAACTATAGTTATTCTTGACAGTGTTTTTCCAGATACTCACAACTAAAATTTCAGCCTAACTAACCTAAGTTAGCTTTTTGTCTATGCATTTGATAAAGATGTAAATAATCAGTATTTTAAGTAGATTGAACAGATGGCTCCACTCTTGGGCCTTTTTTTGTGTATGTTTTTTTTTTACTGCAGAAGTCCATCTCCATGAAAATAAGGTTGTTTACAGGTATAGTCATGTGATGTTGACGGCATTGTTAAAGGATTTCATTGCATGATAAATTTTCCAGGGTGACCTGGTGGCTTAACTTCACTATCTGAGACCTGTTTACAGTATTCATGGTTAAAGAACTGTAACTGAGGACAGGTGGGAATGTAAAACTGCTTTGATAGAGTCCTTTGTGCTTGGACAACTGTAATCCTTGGTGGGTTTGCATAGTGAGAAGTTTTATCTTGAAAGCTGCTTTTGAAAGCTGTATTGGTAATGGAGCTGAAAGTTCCATAAAACTGGATTGCTGAAGTTGTTAGTTTCTAATTTGTAATATGAGTATTTTGTTTTGGTTTTTATTAAAGGTGGTGCTCCTAAACAATATTACAAGTGACTGGAAAGAGTAACTGTTAAATAAAATGTAAATGTTTTAAGTGAGAATACACATACAGAACACAAATATTTTGTTATACATTCTCAAGTTCTTGAACCTATTAAAGGCAAAAACTCCCTTCTTTTTTTTCTCCTCCTCAAGTAATGCAGTTTTGGAAGCTCATTTTTTGGTCTCTCCCCCACCGCCTTTCTCTCAAAAATCTGTTTCCTTTCACAGATATATTCATCTCCCTGCACCCACTATATGTCTTTAAAAATTGTCTTGTAGTACAGGTTGATCATAACCAGTCAGCACAACCTGAAATCAATTGACATGCCAGTTAATAATACTGAAACAGGTGTATGGGCTGCCTTCTAGGGTATGTGCACAGAAGGGACTGATCGTGAGTTTAAGTATAAGATTCTGATTTTTTTTTTTTTAAGGTAGTTCTTGACAAGAGTGACCTTTTACAAGTTAGGCAATTGGTTTGAATGCCAAGCATCCTTTATAGTGGCCCATATTTCTATGTCAGAGAATAGGATTAAAAATATTTGGTGTACTGTTCTAATGGAACCTATATGGCATTGTTTAATGAGCAAAAAAAACAATGAGCAACCACCCAGCAAGCTGAAATATGTGTTCATCTTCAAATGTGGTACGGTACAAGTAGCAGTGTGGCTAAATGTGCTGGTTTAACTTTCATTTCAAGCTAAAAGAAATGCTCTGTTCAGTTACCTATAATTGTCTTGAATGCAGTGCACTTAAAAGGAACTTTTAATGATGACTGTATTGAATAGAGAAATGCATAATACATTATTTAAAATACAGTATGTTTTTATTTTCCTTTTATATTTTTGAGTGAATTGAAAAAGGAATGCATTAACTAGAAAAAAAGGGTGCCTTGATATTACAAGGGTTTTCATGTAATATAACAATGCAGCACTATAAGCAGATTTTTTTTATTATTTGTTTTTAGAGTCAGCAACTTTTAAGTATTTTTTCCCATCACTCCCTTATTCTACTGAATCACTTCACTTCTCGGTGCACCTTTAAGGGAATAATCTCCTCACCTGAATAATCACAGGCAGCTATTCTCAGTCACTGAACCTTGGTAGATGAATATTTTGATTTTTTTTTTTTTTTGGTCATCATTTTTGTATATTCTGTACTCTCAGTGTTCTGAGTTCCTACATTTTAAACCTTGATTGATTTTTAGCTACCTTGTTTCAATAAATAATATATGGAAAGTTTTTTCTGTTGAGGAATTAAGTTTGTTACAATTGAACATTATATTTGTGGTCAGTGACGATTTTTGTTTTATTTTATGCCGTACTGCGGATATAATAAGCTGAATGCTGCTTTTGGGTTTATCCCAACCCTCCCCACCTGATCTAAAGTAAAACTGATCACTGAAATTTAAAAGAGTGTTTCCCAGCCTTTCTTCTGCACTTGAGAACAGTTTTGCTTGCTTCATTTATATTGATTATGTTTGGATCTTATATATTGCATACTTTTTTAATCATCACCCTTACCTGTTCTCAGGACCACTTCTCTCTTCCCCTGTCTACCCAGAGAGTGGCCATATCACAATACCCTTATTCTTATTAAATCATTATCACTAAAAACTTTCTTTTCCCAAGGAAAAAAATTGTGTGAAACAAGGTAAAAAATATAATACTGATATATTGATGAGAAAAAACCCAAACGAACCAACTAGGAATTCCTGTAGGTTTTAATTTGTAAATTATCTTTGCTTTTTTCTTTTTTACAATAAGTTGATGTTTCTTCTTTGACTTTTCAGGCACAGGTACCTTTGGGCGTGTTCATCTAGTGAAGGAAAAAATGGCCAAACGTTACTTTGCACTAAAAGTAATGAGCATTCCTGATGTCATTCGACTGAAGCAAGAGCAACATGTGCACAATGAAAAGTCAGTCTTGAAAGAGGTCAACCACCCCTTTTTGATCAGACTGTAAGTTGGTGTATTTTTTTTAATTCATTTAACTCCTATATAAAGTCCAGTTAAAGAGTTCGAGAGTCTCACTGCAAGTTCTTATGTACTTAACCAACACCAAGCATTTAATTTCTGTTGTGTAATCTAGACTAAAATAGAATTCAGATTAAAATATTAGAGGAGAATCAATAATTTAAAATCAAGAGGCATAATTTAAACATTTAAGTAATAATATAAGCTTTACTCCATCTCTTATTTTCATCCTGCAGATGAGAAATTATCTTAAGTGAGGGGAAAATACTAATAAAGAAATGTCAGGATTGGCTCAACAAAATGAATTCCAGAACAATTCTTGATGTTGGAATGGCAAGAAAAGAAGTATTTCTACAGATATATTTCCTGTAGATATCTAGATGAAGATATAATTAGACTTAAGTATTTGCGTTTTGAAAACTTTGTGAACTTTATTTTTGCATACTTTATTTTTAAAGAGTTTAAATTACTGCAGCACTTCTTGGGCTTTGTTAGTCCCATGTTTGAGATTAAGATATGGAACCTATTGAGAAACATTGTTTAAACACAGTTTATGAAGAATACTTTTTTTTAGTGGAATTGTGATGATTCTAATCTCTTTATTAAGGAGCTAAAGCATCATGCTTTTCTGTTCACAGCACCACAGTGCCTTTTGTGTATCTGAGTCCATATTTATTAATGGGATAACGAAACCTCTGAGTAATTGCACAGTTAATTTCCATTTACGTTTTCTCATGCATGGATACAGAGATATTGACCAAGATTTGTTTTGCATTTAAAAGCTGCCTTAATCAGTTTTGCATAAAATTAGACAAAATTAGCCTTGGTTAATCTCTAGCTGCAGGGAGTGCAGCCTCTTCCCTGGGCTAAGAAAGTATCAGAGGGAAAAGAGGAGGTAAAACCATTGTAGTCATCCAGAAGATGGAAAGAGCCCTCCAGGAGGACACTTTTCCCAGGTATGCTGTTGCTTTTTCCAGCATCATGATGCTGTTAATTTCCAGCCAGTGTTCAGATATCCTGTGCCTGGCATAGTGTCAGTAAGATGAGTGCTGGAGTATGTGGAGTTTGAGATGCATGCAGGAAAGCAAGATGGAGAGGCTGAGTACATGTTGTTAGACTGGTTAAAATATAGACAAAACAGGGGGAACAGGGTTTTATATGTATATCTATGTACATACATAAATTCTTAAAAAAACCCACAAAACCAAGCAGATCCAAACCTACCAAAACCAGCCAACCAAACAAAAACCCAGTACATCTGTGCATCTAGAACAGAGCAGCAAGTGTGGGAATAGAGAAACTTGGATGAGAAGTCAGAGACACTGATGTCACAGGGTTTGTGTCTATACAGAAGTGATCAAAAATCCAAACCAGTAAGTTTTCTTGGAATTCATTCATGTCTTGTTTCCAAAATGTCAGATTTTAAAGTTGCCAAAGGAAGGACGCAATTCAAACAGAAGTTCACTTGTGCGCAAGGCAAACATTCTTCCTGTCAACAGAAAAGGCAGAGAGCTGGAAGACATGCTCAGTGAGATGCTACATCAGCTACCCTCATGTAATTGTCCATGTGCAGCCCTAGTCCTTTGGCAAAGGAGACTCAAGGCAACCTAGCTGAAATGAGAGAGTCATGTTAATATTTTGTGTGCTTTAGGTTAAACTAGCATTCATGTACGATTATCACTGACTGTATGACAAATAAAACTTTCTTCAGCTTTTTATGTGGCTAACAGCTTTTTCTCAGCCACCTCCTTCCCTGCCCAATACATGTTTTTTTCCATGAATTATTTGATTATAATTGATCAGCAAAAAGAGGAAAATTTTTCTATATTGTTCTGCTTCAATGTCTTTGAATTGTGTTATCTACATGGTCTGTTTTTTATATTTTCAATTACCATCCCCACCTTAAACCTGGATAGTATCCTCTGGTTGCAAAACAAGGAATATGAGCCAGTGCAGCATAATACAGTAGTTTTTTAGCACTTGATGATGGAGAATTTTAAAGTAATGCTTCATGTGATTTATTTCAGGTGTTCATCCTTCCTGTATATTCCTTGTATACAAGACTTTTTTTTTTTTCCTTTTAATTTTGAGAAATGCTCTCCCTGCATGTAGGGGGGTCCTGAATCATCTTTTCCTTTTATCTACTTACTTTTTAAACTGTTTTTTGGAAATGTTTGTTTGGTGGTCTGGCAACAACTGGTCATGGGAGACTCATAGGCAATCTTTACTGACATGTTTGAGTGATATATCATAACTCTGTGGGTACAGCAGTTCATATTGTGCTGTAATTTTGATGTGTGTCTTTGATATTTTTTTAAGAGAACAAGAATTAATAAAAATCAACCTTGTCTTACAGTCTTAAAAGCTAAAGTTCATTAAAACAATCTGTATTGCAAATATTCAAGTTCTTTATTTTGCTATTTTTCATGTATACCAAATAATGTATCCATTTTTCTGTGGATAGACAATCTTTTAAGAGTCAGTTCTTGAAGAAATTAATTCCAGTAAAAATACTGTGTTTTAATGGTCTAGGTCTTCCATTTTTTTTCTCTGTATTCTTTGTCAGATTTTGTCCTTCCTCTCCCTTGTACATGTGTTTTTTTAAATATGCGGTTTGCCTCGTTTTGGCCATTCTTGTTCCTCTTCCTTTGTTTGTTGTAGGTGCAACTTTGCCTAACTCCTTAAAATACATCTCAAGAGTGCTTTTACACAGTCAATAAAGATACTATGAACATCATCAATAGTCAATTACAGATGGCCAAAAAATTACTTTGTGATAGGGAAGTAGTGCCATAAAAGCAAAAGGCAAGCCTGGCCTCTGCTTCCTTCATCACTTTGAAGGAATGGAGGAGCTGTTTCTGATACCTGTGTCGTTTTCTTGGTTGCCCTCAGTGCCAGTATCAAGAAAGAAAATCTTACCATGCAAAAGTCACTTACGGGTTTCGGAGCTCAGTTTGAGAACCTGAGACTCCATGCCTTGATTAGAAACCAACTAATGAAGGGGGGTGGGAAAAAAGATATTTGATCTTTGCATTCCTGTGATACTGCAGAATCATTTACTAGAAGCTAAAATAACTTCTGTTCTTATCATTACAGTAGGTAGGGATACAGTGTTCTTTATCTGTTATCATAGTAATAGGGATAGCTGTTTGTTTTAAAATGATAGATTATTATTCAAGATGTTACCAGATGCTTAGCTTATTTTGTTCTTAACTGTTGAGCTACATTTAGGTGTGTGGTATATGAGTAGTTTAATGTGGGTAAAAAGAAAACCAGCTTAGTTTTGAGGAATGTAGAAGAGAAGATTCCTGTATTCTGTAATGAAGCATTTGAAAGCCATGTGGAATTATTGTCTTGTTTCCTTAGCTGCTCTTTACTGAACTCTAGTAATGAATGTACCACAATAATAGTTCTTAAATTAAAAGCGACAGTCTGAGGAACGGAAGGTACTTACCATTAATTCTGAGGTACGGAAATGAATCTTATTTTTCTGTCATTTTTGCTTTTCTGTTGCTTTTGTTAAAGATACTGGAGAGAAGCAAGCATTATGATCTGATGCTTATCTAGTAACTAGTCACTGTAGTTGGGATTTTATATTTTCAGGGAGGCAGGGATAGGATAGGGGAAGGAGAACTCTCTGGTGTCCTGTTTTTGAATATACTGTCATAAACATTTTTACAAAAGCAGAATCTGCTGACTTCTCATCACTTTGGCAATATTTGATTAAATAAAATGTAAGGTGTGTAACAATTGTCTGGTCTTAGCAGACTGGCAGTGTACAACGTCAGTTATTATGTGCTTAGCAGAGACCTGTTTTGTACGATGCAACAGAGTCTATCAGTTAGATTTTCTTAGCCTGTGCTGTGCGCATCCTGAACTATCTGTTTTACTTTTCAGGTTAAGTCAGCTGCTTGAACGTCTAATCCTACTAGATTCTTGAGGGTTTAAAATTTGCAGTATAATTTGTTTATTCAATAAAATAATATTTTTTTATTACAGATTTTGGACCAACCATGATGAACGTTTTTTATACATGTTAATGGAATATGTGCCAGGAGGAGAACTTTTTAGTTACCTGCGCAACATGGGGCGTTTCAACAACAGCACAGGACTGTTTTACTCGGCAGAAATTATTTGTGCAATAGAATACCTGCACTCCAAAGAAATAGTTTACAGAGACTTAAAACCTGAAAATATATTATTAGACAAAGAAGGACATATCAAGCTTACTGATTTTGGATTTGCTAAAAAGCTGGTGGATAGGTAAGTAGGTTTTTGTTACAGTTTAACATGCAAAATGTCATTACAGGTGGAAGAAAAAAGTTTTATTTCAGAGCTCAGCATTTCACCTAACATTCTGTGTGCTTCACGCATGTCAAATCCCTTAATGTGAAGGAAATGATCGTCTTAAAATGGCTGTATGGAAACCAGTATTACACCTTAGGTATAACTAAGGAGCAATATCACAGATAAGCTACCATAGAAAAATACTTTATGTGAGTAGATTTGTATATTTAAGTTGTCAGCAGACATCTTGTAAAAAGGGAGTTCAGTGAAGTAAAATGTGCAAATACTGGGATGCGTACATCAATACGTTAAATGGGACATTGATCTTCCATACAAGGTGAATTACTAAGTGTTTTGTAACTGCTGTTTCCTTCTGCTTTCCTTTTAGAGAAATTTTTGAAATGTGGGAATAACACTTTAAAACTGTATACTGTGTTTTTATTAGACTGTTGCTAAAATGAAACCGAAAAAATCTAGACAGAAACAATAAGGCCAGCTTCAGCAGAAGTATTTATTTAACTGTAACTTCTACAATACCGTCAGCCTTATGTGTGTTTTACTAGTGTATGTAAACTTTTTGATAAAGCAGAGGTTTTTTCCCCCAGTGATTTCTCTGTTCTCTCCGGTTGACCTACACTTCCAAGATTATAACACATGTTCTTAAAAGGAAGGAAAGAGCCATCACTGGGACTGAAAATAAGGGAGGAAAAAACTAGCCAGCCATATTAGAAAAGCGGTGTTAAAACGTTTGGTATTATTCCCTAGGGCCACCTCTTGAGGAAGACCATATCTGATTGGTCTAGTTGAGGCAGCCTAGTAAGCGAGTTAGAGGATACCATAACTAGGTGCTCATCCTCTTCACTCATCTGTTGACCTGTTTGATGCTGCTTTTGCAACAAGTCAGGGAGGGGTGGAGGACAGGATTCTACAATATCACTTTGAAATGAAGGTGGATCTGAGGGATCTACTCTTAATGGATCCCTTACAAAGTAAAAGTCAGATGGGACAGATCAAGTAGTGTTACGGAGATCATAAAGGTTGCTTGCCTATGGGTTACGTGCTCCCAGTGCTGGGTTGCCTCTGCACAGAAGAATGGTAGGCAACTGTTAAGTACGCTGGTTCTATTCACCCTTCAGGTCTAAAAGTCTGTTTTAAAACTATACTGTTTTAATATCAGTATGTTTGATTGAATTCAGTCTCCACTGGGCAAGCAGATAGGTCTACAAATGTTGGCTTTTTTTTTTTAAGTATTTGGTTTTTAAATCAAAGTAACTTTTTTTGCACGAAGAGATAAGGCTACGTCCATATAAAAAAGTAGGACAATCTCTTTATAAGATATCTTCATACAAATTCTTATTACTTCCTTTTTACATGTAGATACTGCCACTTAGTGGTTATTCTTAATTTGGATTTCTGTGGGTTTCAGGCACAGCAGCAGTAACCTTTCATTAGATAAGGTGGTAGATCCCATCAAAGTATATTTTTTCAGCGTGGCTGATGAATCTATAAATTTGTTCCAATACATTGTAGGACATCATAACAAGTTATCACTACTTTCTTTAGTTGTTTTTTTTTTGTGTCCTATCTTGCCGGGGGTGGGGAGAGGTGAGGGGGTGTGGGTGAAGTTGATCAATTTGTGATCAACTGAATCATAGAACTCTATAGTATTTTTATATTAGTACCTGCTTTACCTATAAATGTACAACAGGTGATACAAAATGCAGAACACAAAGTTGGAAGGCGACTTTGTCAATTAGAGCACGGTAGTTACTTAAGCAAGTCTGATCCCCCCCCCCCACTATATAGGTTTCACCCTACTAGCTGTAGTCATTTTCACAATGCTGTTTTTTATCACTGTGAAAATATAGTTGCCAGCAATTTATCCACAAATGCACTCCAGTAGGTTACTTTGTTTCCTAAACTATTTGACCCAAAGTATAGGAGGTTTTTTGTCACTTTTATGCACGGCAAAGATCTATACATGTGAACCTTACGTGTATGTATGTGTTTTTGTATACATACACGCACACACAGATATATATGTATAGAGTGCATATGAATTGTGAAAATAAAACACAAAGTATGTATCTTTCTCAAACAGCTGTGAGGAAGCGTGCCACTTAGGACCAACAAACGTTCTCCTAGAGAAACTTGACGTGTAAAATAAAACATGGTCTGCAGAACACCTTCAACACAAGCACACATTTCTTGATACATATTATTTCCTACAAATGATTCTGTAGTTGCTTAATTGAGATTTTTCTGTAAGCATTTTCCTTTCTTCCCACTATCATGTGTGAAAGGGTGAAGTGTTCACCATGTCCATCTACCATTAAGCTGCTCTTTAGAGAGAGTGGCTGGCTCGTAGCTCACGTTCCCGCTTTGGGAAGCTGCCTGCTTCCATTTACCTTCTTACTAGTAAGTTTTCTGAAGGGCTAGACTCTAGAGAAAGAGGAAAGGGAGGAGGTTTTCTTGTCTCCTCCTGTTCCTTATTGTTTTGTCCTTCTGTTTATCCTTGTTCTTCCCTTTTTAGAAGTAAACTATGACCAAAAATTGTAATTTTTTCTCCAAAACACTGTGTCTTTTGCCTCAGCTGCTGTTTATTTGTTCTCTTTTCTACCTTGGTGTTCCTTAACTGAAGACTTAATAACTTTTTCAGTTTTTTGTAAGTACATTCACATAAAATAGATATGCCACTACTTTAAAAAAGGGGCAGTGTCAAGAAAAAAGGAGGAACGCATGGGACTGGAATAAATAATTGCTACTTGAAGGATGCAGAAAGGATTTGCTTTGAATTTTATAGCCATTACATTTTTAGACCTTTCTTTTTCTGGAAAGCATATACCACTTTTCAGGTATAATATATCCATTAAACATGTTTCTGATCTTTCATACTGTGTTTTTGTTTTGGGGCTTTTTTCCCCTCTCTTGTCATCTTTCAGAAAAACTGAAACAAAAGTTCATGGAATTCTATACTTTTTAATGCAGAGATTTTACTGTATTTTTTGAAACTTTTAAGTAAACTTACGATTTTTTTTTTTAGAGGAATGTTGTTCTCTGCTAATTCTAATTTGCTCAGTATAAATTCCTAAATAAGAATAAAATGTTTTAATGTTTTAAAATTACATGTTCAACCTTATCAACTATTGCTTACCTGTATTTCAGCTTTTGTCTTGAAAACCCAGAGCGGTGTAATTTTTGTAGCAATTTGAAGGAAACAGTCTATTCTTATTTTTCTGCTTTATAATTTATCTTAAAAAAGATAATTTGGAGTTTCAGATGAATATGCACCAGTCATGAAATAGTAATGATAAAAAAAAGCCTACAGAATTTACTTGATGCATTTTCAAAAAATACTAAATAGTTTGCTTTCATGACTGACAAAAGAGGAAACACAAGGCATGGTTGTATGGCACAAATACACAGCTTGACAAAGAATTCGAGCGTCCTCCAATTTTTTGTGTAGCTAGTAAACATAAATTTCTTGATAGAAAATAAGATTGGTAATAAATTTTATTTCCCAGTGCAACTAGGGGACTTCAAGTTATGTTGGCCTTTCCTTAACTTGTGGTTTTCCTTTTGCTTAAATAAAAAAGATCTTGTTATTAACCTGTAAGGTAACTGAGGGTCGTTTTCATTACCTTGTAACCATCAAATAATGTGGGTGCTGGAAGTCATGGTCATCATATCCCTTGATAAGGGATGAAAACCACCAAAGACTACATATTTGCTGAATTTGTATGTTCATATTGTTGGCAATTTTGGGGGAGGAAGGGATGACCATTGTGGGGCATTGTCCTGCAAACTGTCTGGCTTGTCCATTAAAACAGATGTGCCTGCCCTGTCTGCTTTTCTTCTACAGCCCTTCTTCCCAAGTGTAGTAAAACTGGTAGCTGCTTAATTTGCAGAGCTGGCTAAATCAGTATGAATAAAAATGTGTATGATGGATTGTAATATGACTTTTTTAGTTTGGGGGGAGGGGGGCTCTTGGCTATTCTGTTTTAAAAGACAACAAAGCTTTGTTGTTTTCCTTAATTACCTAGTCCTGATCTAGGCAACTGCTAGATGGCAGTAGTGTGTAAAGCAGTGCTGTAGGTAAGAATTTTATTGAGTATGCTTGATTTGGAAAATTAGAGTTTATGTTTTCTACCAATAAAAATCATGCCACCCGTTTATAATAAAAAATTAAAGATGTATTCTTCACACTAATGAACATAGTTTCAAGAACCATGAAGCACTTGAGTGCATAGTGTGTCTAACGCATTCTGACAGTTTAACTGGAGTAATTTAGCTTTTGTCGTATTGAAATCAGGCCTAAAGAAAATCAGTTCTGTGTATCATAAATCTTCATTTAAAGTCTTGACTGACTGTACAGCTCGACTTCCTTGATCTTAAGTATTTTTATGAATCTATGCCAAGGCTTAAAAAAACCCAAACAAAAGAGGAAAAAAAAGAAAGGGAAAAAACCCGCCCAAAAGCTCAGTTTAAAATAATTCTGCAGTTTCAGAAAAGCGTACTGTTTAATCTTCAAAAAAATTAAAATAAAATAAAGCACCATAGGTGCAGCTTGAATATAATGAGGAATATTTTTTTATTTTTACAGTGAGGGTGGTGAAACACTGGCCCAGGTTTCCTAGAGAGGTGGTAGATGCCCCATCCCTGGCAACTTCAAGGTCAGGCTGGACGGGGCTCTGAGCAACCTGATATAGTTGCAGGTGTCTCAGCTCATTGCGGGACATAGCTGACCTTTAAAGGTCCCTTCCAACCCAGACTATATCCATTTCTGCTTAAGAAAAAGAAGGTTTGTGAAGTCTAGCAGAACAGTGGTAGGAAAAACTAGAAGTTGAAAGAGGCATGTATTACTTCTAAAAGTGATTGCTATTCATCTTAATGCATTTGTTCAGGACCACATGACCAGTTTGATTCATGCCTTGGAGAAGATTCTTCCTGCACTCACAAATAAAATAATTAGAGTTTCTTTTGCTCCAAGTTAGAAATTGTGTGCAGTGACCATTAGTTTCATGACTATTTTCTTTGTCATTTCTTATTAGAACACTTCTTAAAATGCAATATGCTTTTTTTTTATTCTCTGCTGTTATTTCATCCTCTCTTGAATTAATGAGCACTTTTTCAAAGTTTCCTCTTCTGACTTGCTATCAGGGAAGTATAATCTATTAAGTATGAAAGCCCTTTTTTTCCTCTAGCTTATATTTAAACATGTCAAGGTAGTGAAGCCAAGCAAATTCTGCATGGGTATTTTTACAAAGATGATTTCACATTTCTGAAAGAAATTGTTTCAGAACAGTCTGTGTTTCAAATTGTAATTTGATCTTTGTAAACATTAACTGCTTAGCTTCAATTTATTTAATGAATTTATAGAACTTGAAATACACATTTGGTGTATTGGTAGCAATATAACAGTTTTATATCCTGAGCTTATATTAAGAAAGATAAGACTAAAAATGACATCTAAATAGATCAAAAATAGTATCACATGCATATCTTTTACTTGCTTAACTATATAGGTATTTTAAATAAGTAAAAACACAAAATGTGTTCCTTTTAATGGATATTGTTGGAATGATGACAGGTTACGTCAATACTATTTGAAAAACATTGCTTAGATTGTAAAAGGAATCTCACTTATGTCTGCAGCTATTTACTGATTTAAACTAGTACTTTTTTTCTGTGTCCTTCTTCCCTTTGTTTTTTCTAAACAAAAATTTTTCATTTTGCTGGAAAATGCCAATAAGCTTGCCCTCTGCTGCACCTGAATTCCCAGGGTCTGCAGCTTACAGGATGAAAACCACTATTAATAATTTTGAAGCAACATATAACCTAATGGATAGAGTACCACACCAGCAGTTGGGAATCTCAGTGCACGGATGTTTCCTGCAGCCAAGTTTCTTAATTTTCATATATCTTTGTTCCAGGAGAACTGGAGACCGTCATCAAAACAGTCTTTTTAGATCTTGTAGATTCCTTTCTTTTTAATCTGGTTCCTATATACAATAAATACATAGGCATATGTTGGGTACTTCCTATCTGTGTGTTTGGTTTTTTTCTATTGCTGTTATTTTAGTTTTACTTCAGTCTGGTTTTGTTGCTTGTTTTGTGGTATCTTTTTTTTTTTTTTCCTTCTTTTCCTCCCAGGACATGGACGCTCTGTGGCACTCCTGAGTACCTTGCACCGGAAGTTATACAAAGCAAAGGCCATGGAAGAGCTGTGGATTGGTGGGCCCTGGGAATTCTTATATTTGAGATGTTATCAGGGTAAGTGATAATGATTACTATATCACAGCAATATTGTGTGTATATATAATTTTTTTACACACATATATAGGATTCTTTATTAGTTCTGTTTAAGATATTTGGAATAGCAGATTTGGGTTAGATTTATTATTGACATACCAGTTTCATTTCTGCCTCTGAAGAAGAGAATCATGAAGCTGTACAAAAGAACGTACTTCACTGTTACTGGGATTTTTATTTTTTTGACCTTGTCAGTTTTGTTTGTGTTTGGTTGGTTTTTTGGTTTTGTTGGTTTTTTGTGGTGTCCTTGTTTTTTTTTTTTTTGTTTGTTTTTTTTTTGTTTGTTTTTTTTTAGTAGTTAAGGCTTTTTAACAGCTGCTCTTTTATTTACCTGTTTTGGAAATTCAGGTTTTGTTGAAGTTTAGATTTTTATACATAAAATCCTTTGTACTTAAAGGGTGAAGAAGACTACTACCAGTTTTCTTTGCTGTAATTTGTAGCATAGTGAAATAATGTTTGCAGTGGGAGCTTTAGTCTATAAAAATGCATAGTGGCAAGTAGGAAGACTTTTATCAGTACAGTTTGTATTACTACTGAGCACTGGTTTTCTTTAAACCAATGAAGAAAGGAACAGGGAGAAGCTTCAAGGTCTATTTGGAAATCAGTTTGCTATATTTGATGTTTTGGTATTTGGTTGATAAGCAATGTTTCCAAAAGATATAAATTGAAACTGAAGAGAGGCTTTCTGGCATTAGTATAACTAACTGTCTTAATTTGCTCTGATTTCAAAGAAGAAATACTATTTTCAGTAAAACAAACAACTGGTTTAAGGAGAATGTGAAATTCTGCTTGTGTGCTGAACAAGGCATCCGTATGTTTTTCCTCGTTTCTTTGTCTTGGCTCTATCTTTTGAAGGCAAAAAAGAATGGGAATTTTGAAAGAAATTGGTTTTGCCATGTTTGGTGCAATAGAACAAATGCAGGTGAAAGCAAGGCGTTCGTAGCTTGGGAAGAAACTCAATGTATTTCATCAGTTTTGTTTTCATAGTCATTAGAACTTCTTTTCGGTTCCAGGCCCCAGCGTGTGCTGTGCCTTCTTACTCCCTGAGTGTGTGTCATTTTGCTTCTATGGCCTTTCATTCTGGATCTGCAGCCTCATAAGAGTGAAGTTGGAACAAAAACATTCCTGGATGAATTTATTCTTCCTTTTCTCTATACAGTACTGTCAGCTCAGGGTAACTTTGACTCCTCTGGTGTTCGGACAAGCTCTGATTGCCAGAGCAGACAGTTCCCCTGATGGATGATCACTTCAGAGCTCCAGTCCATTACGTATGTTTGCTGTGAAGAAGTCCACCCAATAGCATCAAAACTTGATCCCAGGACAGTATTGCTGCCCACTGCTTGCTTTCTTAATGGCCTGAAGGGTTGCATGTGCATTTACCTTGAATCTCAAGGCAATTTCGGAATAGCAAAAGCATAAAAATGTACTAGTAGTTCCCTACTGACCCAGGCGGGCTTGGCTGACTGTTCTAATAAAAAGTTGTTATTTATATAGGCTGATCTGTGCAGAGGTCAGGCTTCACCTTTCTTCCACCACTCCATGTGAAGATGAGCAGCCAAAGTTGGTCAAGGGAATCCTGGGAGGGATGAAAGGAGCAAGAGATTCCCAACAGCCTTGTTGCCACTAATTGTAGTGCTAGGCAGAACGAAGAGTGTAGATAAAAGTGTCTGGTGCCGTAACGTTAGCAGAGGTGCTGCTGTTTCCCAGCTGTAGTCCGAGTGATTTACCTTCCTGCCAGAGGTTTTGGTAGGAACACTCTGTTTGCACTGTGTGGTCTCAGTGTAAGTGGATATGGGGTCCACTTTCTGTCCCTTACACAGATGTTGATAGGATTCTCTCTACTAGACCAGTAATAGAAACATGGTTTCTAAAGTTAACATACTGACTGATAGTCAAGCAAGATCTCATCTGTGGAATCAGTGAGACTTTGAGACTGCAGGGTACTCAAGTATGGCTGGTATATATCCTTCATAAAAAAAGGGAGCAGCTGCAATCATTTCTGTGTCCTGAAACTCTCTGGCGCAAGTGATGAGATCTGGATTCCCCCCAAGCGTAATATAAACACTTTGGCTAGAGAGACTCTTAATCAGTACATAAATTACACATTTCTAAAAGGCAACTGAGATATTATATAGGCTGATTGACAGAGCAGCTGTCTGCTTGCAAGTGATTTTGTAATTGTTTTTACTGCAGTATTTGTGTAGGTACGCTCTTCATAATAATTGGAAGCTGCTTTTTACTTTTTAGTGTTTGGGTGGAGTCCCTATCCCAGCTTCAGATAGGGACTCCACCCATGGGGTGGGGGGGTTTTTTTGGTTTTTTGTGGTGGTGGTGGTGATGTGTTTTTTTTTTGTTCGGGTTTTTTTGAGATGTTACACAATCATCAAGGTTGGAAAAGACCTTTAAGATCATCAAGTCCAACCATCAACCGAACACTGCCAAACCCACTAAACCATGTCCTGAAGTGCCACGTCCACACATTTTTTGAGTACTTCAGTGATGGTGACTCCACCACCTCCCTGGGCAGCCTGTTCCAATGTTTGACCACTCTCTTAGTAAAGAATTTTTTCCTAATATCTAGTCTAAACCTCCCCTGGTGCAACTTGAGGC